TCACCTGCCCAAGTTAGCTTCAAGTATGGCCATGGCTTACATAAACCTGAGTTAATTTGTCAGTATAGCTCCAGCAGCAGAGCCCTGTGCTACTTTTAAAGATGGGATTAAGCTGCAAATTTCAGGCCACCAAGTTTACAAGTGCTCAGTTTTGCACTTTTGACTTGACCAATTGTAAGGATAAGAGACCTTTATAAAATTGTATCTGGATTCAGATTCAACTTGCAGTTGGAGGTTAATGCAACTGGAGGCTATTTGGATGCAGGATTTTTGCTGAGACCCATAATACGGTGGGGAGGGATGGGGGGTTAGACATTTTTGGAAGAACCTACTAGATTTAAGCACATACAAGGTCCTATGAGATGTATGTGCCTAAATCCCTCAAGTGCTTTTGAATATTCCCTGCTAATTCATATATGCATGAACCTTGAGGAATAGATTTGCAACATTTGGCCCCATCTAGACATGTATGGATGTTTGGTTCCTTGTTAGTTGTCCCCAGGGAATGCCCATGCCATGTGCGTGCTGGTGTGCAGCAAGTTGTCCTGGGTGGGATAGAGGATGGGACCAACAATGATCTGGCCCCAGCAGCCTTACCTGGGGTCCTGGGGGCCTCCTGAGGCTGCAGGAGCGGCAATCCTGCTGCACGGAGCCTGGCTGGTAGCAGAGTGTAGCTCCAGCCGGCCAGGGTCCAGCTTTGGGCAGCGCATGCTGCTACCACATGCACAGCTCCACTTTTTTTCTCTGTGGGTTTTTTTAACCCCTAGATACTCAGGGGTCAAAAAAAACTCTCCATGCTACTTCCTTGCAGCATGGAAAGCAGCAGAATTGCAGTATGTGGCACTGCAGATATGTCTGTGGTGCCACAGACCTCACAGCCATGCTCATCTGGACGCAGACTTTGAGTCCAAATCTAATTTCACCTCTAAAGCACCTAAAAGCAATATCACTTTCCCTGCTCAAGTCCCTGAAAAAAAGCATTAACATAAAAGATGGGTGGGTTCTCTGCATTATCACTGCTTTTGTGACTTGGTTTTATGACTAAGTAATTGTCTTATTGAACTTGTCAGTTTTTTTTCTTTTGCAAATAAAAGAGGAAACAGTATGACTACAACTACCATTGGGCTACTTACAACCACTTTTAAACACTTTGTAAAAGTAAATTTATATATAAGTGCTAAATCTAATTAAACAATTTAAATCCTTTTTTGCTTTCCATAGGCAAAATAACTGTATTGGTATTAACCTGTGTTTTGTGGTCTCATTAACTGGAAGCTTTTTCCTTTTGCCATATTGCATTACAAAAGCTTAATTTTTTTCATCTCTGGAAGTAAAAGTGAATGTAGCTGTGTTACTAACCATTCTTTGTTTTAACTGACATGCACTTTCTTTATGATCCACGCTGAGCCGTAACTGGGGAATGCTTAATGTGTTTGTGTCAGGAAAGTCCTATTCATTCTGACAAACTGATCAACCTCCAGGGTGTTCTTCCGCCATAGAACTGATCTTAGCTCTCATCCATTATCTAATAAGATGTGAAAAGAGTTCCCTGGCTTGCCAAAAGATCAGACTTGTTTTCATTGAGAGCTGCTGGATGACAGCATTCCTGGAGTTACATGCAGCCTATAAAATGACTGTGGCATGGACTACACCCTAAATATGCACACACAATTTTAGCACCTGCAGGCCTGTCTGGGATATTGGTGACCGACACTGTAATCTTGCTTTTGTGGAAGAACCAGAATGAGAATGCATTGTACTAAAGATAGGGCAGACAGAGTGCTTTTTATCCCAAGTGCACAGCATATCCAGAAGTCAAGCATCACATAACAACATAGGTTTATGAATCATATAATTGTAAGCATCACTTCTGTGTCATGAGGTAGATAAAATATTGTTGCAAAGAGGTTTTCATTTTTCTGCAAAACTTCCTTGAGTGTTAAGGTTGTGAACCTTCTACAAAAGCTGGACTTAAATAAGAAGAAAGGGAGAGGGTAGAGAAGAGAAAAAAGAAATGGGCCCTTCTGTGGCAAAGTATTGGGTGTAACAAAACCCTTTCAGAGAGATGCATCTGAAGGCAGCAGGCAAAGGAATGACAGGAAGGAGGAAAAAAAGTGGGACATATCTACCAGAAAATACAACTAATCATGGATGTAAAGTTAACTACTTCCGGCAATAACCAATCATTCAGGCCCAAAATACACAAGTTATATTTTTCACATGATCAGGCCCTTGAAAACACTCTAAAGCCATGATATAACATATGTGCATGGCTGCATAGCACTTTTTAAATGGCTGATCATGTGAAAAATTAACCCTTGTCAAATCAGGTATTAGATTAAGGTACTCTGCTTTAAAGCACTTCAGGGAACTTATGTTCTCTCAAGGGCTAATTTTTCATTCAGGGGCAGGGCTGGCAGCAGGCGAGGGAGGAGGAGGGAAGTAGCATAGAGTTGGCAGCTGAGTTTTGCCTGGCCTGAGCTGGAAGGGGAGAAGTGGAACAGGGCCCAATACCCCAGCCAGGGTAGCTGGTGGGGCCCGCAAGGCGAGGGAGCTCTGTTCCATCCCCTCCCTCCCCCTGCCCCCAGCTCAGGCCAGGCAAAGCCTAGCTGGCAGCTCTGTGCTGCTTCCTTCTCCCCTCTCCCCCCTGACCCTCACTGACAGCCCTGGAGCTGGGAGGGAAGTTCAGGGCTGGGGAGAGGGGCAGACTGCAGCCTTCTCAGAGACTGCTGAAGCGCCCCTGCCTGCTGGCCAGGGCCGGTGCAGGCAGACTCCATTTTCCCACCTCTCCCCACAACTCAACAGATGAACATCTGTTGGGTGGGGGTGGCTGTAGCTCATGGCACTTCCTGTAAAGTGCCATGAGTTAGAGTGGGGCCCTTGGGTGCTAAGGACTTCAGGTGTTTATGCGTTTGTGCTGTTCCTACCATGATTGGGTCCTTTGGGTACTACCATGGGCAAAACATTTTCCATCTCAAATACCCAGAAACCTACTCAAATCATTATTTCATAGTTTTCATGGAACTGTGAAAAGCAGCAGTTTCCATAATTTTATGCAGAATTGCGAGAAAAAAAACTTAATAAAAATAAAATGCTGGCTCCCCAGCGTGAGCCAGCGATTGCCCACTGGAAGCAGGAGAAGCTGCCTGCACAAAGGGGGGCAGCCAAGATGGCAGCTACCCTCTCCTCTCTCTGCCACTGATTGGCCAAGAGGCCTGCCTTTCATGAAGCCCTGCCGCTCTCCACCAATCAGCAGTGAGAAGCAGGTCCGCATAAAGGGCATCCCTCTCCACCAATCAGCAGCAAGCGGTAGGGTCACACGAAAGGCACCCCTCTTCACTAATCAGTGATGAGGGGTGAGGCCACCAGGTCCCCATAGCCAGTCAGTGGGGCAGGGGGGATCACCACGATAAGCCCATGAAAATGGGAGCCAGTACTGCTATCAGCCCACAAAATCATCCATCTGCTGCCTCAATTTGGGTAGGTCCCTGCTAATACAGGAGTCTCTCATACAATGTGCCTGGCAAATATACCTCCATCATGAAACAGTTAATGAACAACCACAGCTAAGTTAGCATAACAGTGGCAATTAAAGCAAAAATACATTTAAAAAAAATCTAAATAAGAAACTAGGTACACAAAACGAACTGCCAGGCAAGACAGGGAGGTAACTTTGTTTGATATGAACAAAAGAAACATCCATTCCATTTTTCTCCACCCCCACATTTCCCTGTTGTTTCTGAAGAGCAGAATCAGCAATGTTGGCCTTGTTTTCTTGCACAATGCTTCATTCCATAAAAATGTAGTTTCTTCAGTGTGACAATAAAATGTGATTTTCTAGGGTACTTATGGAACTGACAACAGAAGCCTGAGAGTTCGTAATAGAACTGCAACAATGGGATTCATGGCAGATAAATGCCCCAGTGTCAGGTTCCCCTGATATCCTTTTTCATTACATCTGAATGCAGCTCTGTATCTGAAAATCAAGGCTGCTTGCTTATAATGCCAGTCAGAGCAGCTAACTGCTGAGAGATTCTTCAGAGTCTGAAGGTGGGTCAAGTCAGCGTGGCTCTGGAACAGCATGTGAGAGACCCATTTTACATTATTGACTTTTCCTCTTACCCGCAAGGACACAGACATTAATGCTGAATTGATGGGTCAAAGATTTTGACACATGTCAAGACAGATATCTTCATTTTAGAGTGTAAAAATGTATCAAGCTCAATACATATGAACCATCTTAAATAGCCGTTACAGCTCCAGCAAAAGTGCAGACAAATACATTGCTAGTGCGTAAAGGACACTGCATTTGGTTAAACCCTTATGATCTATAGAATTTAACAGGGATGAAACCAATGCACCTCTTAGACATTTAATCATTTTCCCTAGATACAGTACTCCCCTAAAACCTGTGGAACTGAATAGAGAAGCATGTTGCTTCCATAGTTTTTCTTCTTTTTTTTTAAACTGTTCTATAGAAATGGCAATGATTAGGATTTTTCTATTCTGCAGGGTTTCAAATAACCTGCTTAAAGTTTTTGTCTTTTCCTAGTTTCTATAATATGTAGTTTTCTATGTGAGAATTCATTTGACTCAGAATTATATACAGACTATTTCCAATCACAAGCACTACAAAAGAAGAACCCTTTTTTTTTTACCTGATACCCTCAATTTTTTTCAGCTGGTACCCTTTTTCATACAAATAGGTCACACAGTAAAAAAAGACACACAACCCAGCAATATCTAATATTGTTTTATGTATATAAATGGATACCGTAGCAAAAGCTTATTATTAATAATGGAATATATTTTATTGCATGACAGGAATTTATCATAATAACTGCAAAGTTGTTGTGTAAAAAGATGCGTAATTAGGAGAACTATGGGAATTTAATGGGATAAGAAGGGCAAGAGATCATCTTCTCGACTCTCCGAGAAGATAATTTGCTGCCTATATCTCTAATGTGTTTTTATGGCTTGTTTTTCCTCCCCCTCCCCAGTTCGTGTTCTGCCGTGAGTGTAAAGAAAAATACCATGATGGGGAATGCAGCACTCTCCTCAACACAGAAGGAGCTGTAGCACAGCAGGTAGGGAACGGCAAATCTTGTTACAAAATTAATTAGCTTTGGCATAGACAGAGGAACATTTGTTGAATGGGTCCTAATTCCAATTCTAAGTAAAAACAATTATGGTTGGGTTGAATTACTCCAGTTACTGGAATTGCTGAATTGGCGTCACTGTGGATTTCAGATTCTTTGATTCATAGAGCAGTTCAGTTCTGCCAGAAAAGAGCAAAAATGATAAAGAACTGGCTTTCCTGATGGGCCTTTGGGGTTTTATTTATTCAGTCTGAACATCTTTGAAATGCTTTCTATGAAGTCTCATTTGCCCATCAGTTTATATTCAGCTGAGCAGTCAGTAAGTTATGTGGGGTTTTTTGACTGAATCACAGTCTTTTTTAGTGTAGACAGGAAATATGGTTGGTAATTTATATTTAAGCTCAGAGAAAGAAAAGCTGGTCTTTCCTGGTTCAAAGCTGCTAAGTGATCATTACTAGGCCCTACTGTAATATTAAAACTTATAGATCCACCACCTTGCCCTGCCTGACTGGTTCAGCCCAAGCACTTGTACCTCAGCCCTCCATGCCCTGGCCACCAACCAGTTGGCTGTTCATGGGTGTCTCTCATATTCTCTCCTGTTAAATCTGTTCCATTTTGTATGAATAATTCAACACTTATTGGGCCAGAAAGAGGAAGAAATAGATTGTATATCCCAGTGGTTAGGGGTACTTGCCTAAAATGTGGAGGACTTAGGTTTTCCTCCTTGCTCCAGTTAACATTTGTATGATATGAAAGAGCACCAGGGGAAGAAATTGAGAGAGACCCTGCAAGATTAGACATTATCCTCGTGATATGCAATACTGACATGCAACTCCCTGGCCTGAATCAAGGTAAAGCAGGATGCTGAACATTGGGCCTCTACACCCCGATGAATGTTCTAACTATTGAGCTATTAAACTTTGGGGGTTATAGTCTCTTTCTGTTTTGACCAGGACTTTCATCATAGTCCTGAGAAGCTTTTCCTGACTAAAAATTTTTGAGACTGAGACACACCCTCAGGTTCTGTCATGATAAATGGACTTTTCACAATTAAAAAAACAAAACAAAAATCTTCATTAAAAATTTCCCCTTCTGGCATGCTACAGATCTCAGTACCAGGCTGAAGACATCCTTTCAGTGGACTTTAGCTGAGCAGTTGTCCACCTCTATATACACTATAAGTTTCTCTGTAAAGCAAAATACGTCACATAAACAAAAGAAATCACATGATACAAAATAAACAAATGTTTAGAAAGCTGTACACTGAGAATGTAATAGTGGAATAATTCCTTGTATTTGTAACAACGATAAAAAGTAAAATAATGATTAAGTTAAATAACAGAAGAAATAAGGTACTCTCAACCTCTTTCAGGCTTGTTTCAGTTCAGAAGAGAAATACAGTCTCTCCTCACTGATCTATATTTCTGAAATCAGCAACTTTTTTGTTATGTCCAAGAACTCATGTAAATGGAAATCTCATAAGAATCAGCTTTGGAACATTTTCCAAATAGCGTTTGGCAAAGGCGACCCTTGGCTACAGGCGTCTGCTCTTTTAGTAGTAAAAATAACAGAGTCTTTGAGGGAAATCCCTTTGTAGCTCGCGTCTGCTCTGCTGGTTGTGAGCGCAGAA